TCGAGCTCGCGCCAGCTGCGCGAGAGACGCGGCGCGATGATGGAAAAAATGATGATGATGATGATGATGGCACTACAAACCAAAGGAACAAGCAGGATTTCGAACAGGCTACTCAACAATCGACCACATTCATACTATCAATCAGGTAATAGAGAAATGCTCAGAGTATAACCAACCACTATACATAGCCTTGATAGACTATGAGAAGGCGTTTAATTCAGTAGAAATATCAGCCGTCTTGCAGACACTGCGGAATCAGGGCGTCGATGAAGTATATATAAGCATCCTGGAAGAAATCTACAGGGGATCAACTGCTACCATAGTGCATAAAGAAAGCAATAAAATACCAATCAAGAAGGGTGTAAGGATGGGGGACACAATCTCCCCAATGCTATTTACCGCATGCTTACAGGAGGTTTTCAGAAGCCTCGAACGGGAACAGTTAGGGATAAGAGTTAATGGAGAGTACCTTAGTAACCTGCGCTTCGCCGATGACATTGCATTGCTGAGTAACTCAGGGGACGAATTGCAACTCATGATTACGGAGTTAACAAGGAGAGCAGAAAGGTGGGTCTCAAAATTAATCTACAGAAAACTAAAGTAATGTACAACAACCTCGGAAAAGAGCAGCGTTTCGAGATAGGTAATAGTGCACTTCAAATTGTAAAAGACTATGTCTACTTAGGAGGACAGGTAATAACCGCAGAGCCGAACCACGAGATTGAAGTAACTAGAAGAATAAGAATGAGGTGGAGCACATTTGGCAAGCACTCTCAAATTATGACAGGTAGATTGCTACTATCCCTCAAGAGAAAGGTATATAACAGCTGTATCTTGTATCTTGCCGGTACTTAGCTAAGGAGCAGAAACCTGGAGACTTACAAAGAGGGTTCAGCTTAAACTGAGGACGACGCAGCGAGCAATGGAAAAAAAAATGGTAGGTGTAACCTCAAGAGACACAAAGAGAGCAGAGTGGATTAGGGAGCAAATGAGGGTTAAGGATATCATAGTTAAAATCAAGAAGAGGAAATGGACATGGGCCGGGCTATAGCGCGTAGACAGGATAACCACTGGTCATTAAGGGTAACTGGATTCCCAGAGAAGGCAAGCGGGTTAGGGGGAGACAGAAGATTAGGTGGGCAGATGAGATTAAGAAGTTTGAAGGTATAAATTGGCAGCAGCAAGCACAGGACCAGGTTAACTGGCGGAACATGGGAGAGGCCTTTGTCCTGCAGTGGACGTAGTCAGGCTAATGATGATGATGATGATGATGATAAAAAGGCCGCAAGTAATAACCATGAAGTTAAGTGACGTCACCTACTCACAAACATACAGTAAGGCACTGCATCTTCTGTGTATAAAATGCCCATAAGTTATTTATAATACAAGCATATAATGAGCATGCAGCCAAATTTCAGCAAACATGCAAATAAAAGAAGCTTGCAGAAGAATACAATATTGAAAATATTTAAAAAATAAAAACCGAAAATACTCGTGTTCCTCCAATTTCATGAAGGCCACAATAATTGCCAAAATAAATGATGAAGATAAATCTGACCTGGGTTAGAAATAAAAAGACTAAAATTAGGGGTGTGCGAATAGTGAAATTTACTCTCAAATCGAATAGTAGCCAAGAATACTGAATATCGAATAAATAAGATTTTACTGAAATTAAAAGGAAGAGCAAAAAAATGAAACCAGCTCATGTCCTTGAGAAACACCATGAGTGACTGCTACTGAAAGACTACAGATTGTAAAGCAGAAACACAGGCTGTTGCATATAACCTGGCTTCAGATTCTCTCGCCGTGATGGTACATTGTTTACAGCTCATCTGACAACAATATAGTTGTGCTTCATCATCATGAGTGTTCAGGGCCCAAAAGTAATCAGGTGCTTATTCACAGCAGCTCTTTAATGGTGCATCAGAACGATGGGAGTTTCTGACCAAGTGGTGCAGTGTGACAGTGGCAGATTTGTGAAAAAATTTTCGCACGTAAAGCTAGTCACTGCAGGTTTCGCAAGCCAAAGTCTGAACGTTTCACAGCACTTGCAGCACACGAGGCTAAACTCTGCAAGAAGTCCATGCCTTCGTTTTGGAAGCACAATTGTGTAGGGCTGGACAGTTTTCTCATATTTGAGTATGTGTGTGCATTTTCGCAGAATCAACACGATTTTGTTTAAAATAAACATGCGCTTGCTTCTGAACCAAGACGTCATTGAAGCGTACTGTAAAGACGTTGACATATATTTGGCCACCTCACTCTAAGTAAATTGTACCATTGCGATTTGTCACATTTTAGACTTACGTCCTGGTTTATTCGACATATCAAATACTAGCTATTAAAAAGTCTAATCAAATTATTTGGTTAGTATTATTTAATTAGAATTCACAACTCCAATATTCGCATACCCCTAACTAAAATAACATGCCGAATACAACCACGGTACTTGAGAGTACTACTAAAAGTCTTGCTCATATCACCCTTTTCAAAAATAGTGCTGGAAAACATTTCGGAAGATCGGATGCTTTGCAGATGCAAAGTGAGAGCCAATCATGATCCAAATTGAACAAATGTGTACTCCATCTCATAAGCAAATGGCTGAGCTCATAAGTGCATGCATCGAGGCGCAGATAGCCATACAGCTTTGAGCATATAACTGCCTATTGCCATTCTTATACATAAATTCTTGTGAACAGCCACAATCTGCTAGTGGTAATAGCCTTAGAACAAATAGTTATTTGTTGTGCTTACGTCCTTATTCAATACGCTTGGACCATTTTGTGCTGCATTGGCAGAAATTTCTTCCTGTTCGTGTTCAGGCAGATTCCAAGATAATTAGTTCAGGTTCAGTTCTGGCTAAAATTCTAGTCTGGGTTTGGTGCAACACCTTGTACTATAATATACTAACTTGAAATAAAAGAATTTCATTCTGTAATAGTTTATTCAATTTCTTTTATCATCAAATTATGACTGAATACACCTGCCTATAATTAATAGGCTCTTGCTTATAATTGACAGGCTACTTCATACCTTTACCGCAAGCTTACCAGGAACAGCAGTGATTTTGTACCCTCTGATTATTTCTGAAAGGAGAGACTTCTGATGAATATTACATGTGTAGAAAAAATTAACTGCTTTTCATTGTTGATAGATGTCTTGATATTTATGCCTGAATTCTTTTCATTGTTGATAGATGTCTTGATATTTATGCCTGAATTATGCAACTGAGAAGAAACTAGAAATGTTTGCATTTTTTCTTTATTTTTATTTACTTTATTTATTTGAGACATACTGCAGGCCCAGGTAAGGGCCCAAGCTGGAGGGGCATGGGAAATATAAACTATAATAACATGAGGGAAACAACATTGTAAGTATGGAACAAAAAAAGGAAAACAATGCAAAACTTGGCATATAAACTAAGCATATACAAAGAGTAACAAAACAAACTAAAAAAAAAAGACTTAACATCTTAACTGTGCAATAGCATCGATATTTGACAGACGTTCACAACACAAGTTGTTCCAGTCTGTTATCGTATGAGGAAAAAATGAATACTTAAATAGGTTAGTTTTAGTGCTATAAGGCGTTAAGGATTCAGCATGGCGATGCCTTGTCCGGAGTGCTTCTAGGGGAGTTAAGAAAGGCTGTGGGTTAAGGGATGACTGGTAATTTTTTCAGTCAAAACATAAATTTTAGTCTCAGAATTTTACTCAGTAGTTGCAATGTTGGAATTTTATAATTTAGCATTAGGGTTGACGGAGAATCAGTTGAACGGTATCTGGAGAAAATGAATCTTACTGCTTTGTGTTGTATCATTTCTAATGCGTCAGTGTTTTCTTTGGTGTAAGGGTCCCACACCTGTGCACGCATACCCCAATTTCGGATGGATTAGCGAGTAATAAGCTGATAGACGAGTGTTGAGGGGAGCCTGTTTTAATTTATGCCTTAAAAAGCAGAGCTTATGGAAAGATAACTTACAGATGTTAGAAACATGCGTATTCCAGGATAAATTATTCGTTATAGCAACACCAAGGTACTTATATTGATCATCTTCAATCAGAGGTTTGGAAGCAATATTATAAAGAAAGAACAACTTTTTAACCTTTTTTGCTAATTTTCATATAGACAGATCTTTCTGCATTTAGTTCCATATTCCATTTATCACACCAAGATAAGATGCTTTGAAGGCCAGAATTAGGTGCAACTTGATTGTCTCTGCAAGTTATTTTGCAAGTTATTTTGCACTTTTAAATAGCAACCCCTTATTGATTCTACAGTAAATGATCTAAAATGCAACTTTAATGCGTATACTTTCGGGTATGTCGTAAATTCGTGACAAAACTTGCAAATATGACTATGCACCAACTAGCCCAAGCTTCCACTCTTATGCCGCAGAAGTGAGAATCTTGCGAAAAAAACGCACTTCAGAACTACGTAACATGTTGTGTTCCCCCTCTTGAGTGTGTACACACCAAATAAAAAAATATAGAAGATTAAACTTACATCACTGACGCATGAAAGAATGCAGAAGTGAAAGCTGTTGCATGCGTTTCACACTCTCTGTCATCAGCTACACAACACCTGGTTCTAGCATAGAATACCTCACAAGAGACTGTGCTAGATTTTTTATGCTGAAAGCTACTTGCCCCGTAAGTACTAGACAGCCGGCATTAAAAACTGTGCACATTTTGTAACTTGCTTGCTCGGTGTTTTTCTGTATGTCATAAAGTCACAACACTCAGCAGTAAAGGCTTAAATTTTTCATTGAAATCATTGGTTTTCAAAAAATGTAGAGGTGCACAAATAGCTTTCAGTGCAAGGAATTATAATTTCAGATTTTAGTAGCACAAATCACTAGCATAGCCAAGTGACAAGGGGCCAAAATTAAAGGTTGTACATAAAAAGTACTCAAGCCATGGCTAAATTTTTTAATAGTTTTTACTGGGACCATGTCTTAAAATGTGAAACAGGACCTCTAGTGAAACAATCATACATACTGGAGTGTCTTCCCAATCAGGAAGGAAAGTACGGTTTGCAGGCTTCTTGCCCATCCTTGGCCTTGCCCTGTTGAAAATGCAACAAGTCATCAAAAAAAGGTGTATGTATATATATAATGATTTTCTGTAGTAACCCACCAGACAGCCATCCACACATGTGCTGTCTGCCTTCGTGTAGCTTGAGACTTTATCTGTTTTCATTTCAGAAGATTAATTTTCTCTACAAGGATGCATTTTAAATGCTCCAACGGCATGTTGGAAATTTTCTGTGGAACCTTCAATAAGCCTTTAACTGAATTTTTTTACAATTTGTTCCATTTCATTCCTACAAAATTTGATCTTCATGAAATTAATGAACAACATGCGCTTTGGTCCCGCAATGATCATCACATTAAACCTAAGCTAGAATAAAGCAGTAATTTCCTCAGAAAGCACTAGACAACTTAGGCCTCCTCAAATAATAATAACTGGTGGGGTTTCATGTCCCAAATGCACAATATGATTACAAAGAATGCTGTACTAATATACTGCTAAAATTTCTACCATTAGAATTTTATAATAACGTGTACCTAATTTATGTACATGGGCCTCTAGCATTTTGCCTCCATCAAAATGCAGCCACGGCGGCCAGGATTTAAACAAGCAACCTTCAGCTCGGCCACAACCACAAAAACTCTGTGGTGGTTAGCTATTGGAATAAAGATGCACATTCTTCTTGCCATATGTCATATTTATACAGACTATCGAATACTTCAGTCTGCTCCTAAACACTATTAAATAAACTTGGTAGCATTCTACAACATAACTACAGGTTTTCCCGCTCACTTTAATCCAAGTACCACCTTAAATAATCTGCATGCCATTCAAATAATCTGAGTGCCGAGCTATTTAATCCATGTGCCAAACATTTAATCCAAGCGCCAACATAGTTAATCCAAGCGCCAACTCACTCAGTCCACGTGCCATTGAGTTTAATCCAAGTGCCACCGTGTTTAATCCAATTGCCAATGACTTTAATTCAGGTGCCAGTCAGTTTAATCCATGCGCTAGAAACACAGTTAGCCACTATATATAGTATAAATGTCAGAATAAAGTAAACATGGCGTCACAGCAAGAACTTTTCCCTCGGCTATACATGGTAGCGCTTATGAAATGAAGTGCGCAGTGCGACTTCCCCTTAACATTTTAGTGTCATAGCAAAAAAAAAACAGTCAGTAGTAATTGCATTTATGGGTACTTAAATGTATTTGCACATAGAGTCCATGTTAGTCTTTATTGCATTGCTACTGCTTCATTCCGGTTAACCATCTACACCATCGCATATGCATAGATTCGTGTCGTCTGCTGAGCAGACGGCATTTGGCTACTTATGCTCTGAGGCTACCGCAGTCGTCTGCTCAGCCCAGGGAGAACAGTGACTGACAGATGATATTCATTCGTTCTTGAAATCAGAAATAACCACTTAAAAATAACAAACTTGCATTTAATCGGGTTCATGTGAAAATAAGTAGTTTTAAAATCATCAAAGTAGATACTCCGGTTTTCATGTAACAGGCGACGCTTAGTGTAGCCGAAGCGTGTTTACTTGAAACGTGTGTTTTCATACGGGAACATTTGCAGACGAAGAGAGAGCTTTGCTTGAAGTCATGGCTGGACGCAAACGAGGACCACACTTTAAGAACCCCGACGAACCACGTCGAAAAAACAGCAGAGTATCGGTGGTCGACAGGGCTAGGATTGTGGACGTTTACAGGCGTGGCGGTGACTTAAAGCAACTGGCCGACGCTCTAGGCATCAACATTAAAACAGCAAGATCGATTGCCGCTACCGACACAAAAACATCAAAGGATGGTGGGGGTTCAAAAAGGAAGTTTGGAGATGACGTCGTGAGTACTTTGAGACGAATTGTCGACGAAAACTGTACGTTTACATTGAAGCAAATAAAGGAGGCCCTGGAAAAAGAAATGCCAGGAGTAACAATCAGTGCAAGCACAGTCCACCGCTTGCTGGATGCCCACTGCTACTCGATGAAGCTAGTGACGCAGATGCCCGCAGATCGCAACCGTGACGACATCAAGCACAGCCGCATGCTGTACGCCCAATGGCTGCAGTCTGATGGACTGCGTGTTTGCCGCTTCTATTTGGATGAGACTAACTTCAATATCTGGTGTTCCAGGAACTTCGGCAGGGCAGCTAAAGGACAACCAGCTGTGCACATGACCACAATGACAAAGGGAGTGAACTTGAACATTATAGCATGCATGTCCGCAAATGGAGTTATTCGCTGGACTGTGGTGAACAAAGTTCATTGGGTTGTTTTTAATGACTTCCTCAGTGATGTTTCGGCCCGCGTAGAACGTGATGAGCCAAATACCGAAGCTGTATTCCTTTTTGATAATGCACCTGCTCACGCTCGAGCAGAACAGGCGGCTTTGGCTAACTCCATGCACTCTATTAAGCGCCTGCGAGCGTACAGTCCTTTCTTTAGCCCTATAGAAGAAGCTTTCTCGAAATTCAAGTCACACGTGAAGGCCTACCTGACCGAACGTCGTAATTTAGTTTTAGTGGCACCGCAAAGCATGACGTAGAAGGAGCACAGGCGTTCTTTGCCGCTGGATGCGGCTCGCCACTCCATGCAACAATTACAGCGCGTGGATTGCGCGGCCTTTGATCGGCACAATTTCTCTTTCGTGCCTGCCGCTTTGCGTGAAGATGACTTGTGAACATCCGTCTCCGAGCCCTATGAGACATTTCTGTTTTAATAAATACGCTAACCTGTGCCTATGTTGCATTTCTAGAATAATTAGTAGTAATCCCTCTTGTTTTCCTGTATATGTATATGTATGTATGTGCACACACACACACACACACGCACGTGTGTGTGTGTGTGTAGAGATAGCGAGGGGGGGGACAGAACAAATAATTTAGTGATTGCACTGAATCCGCAAGCTTCCGATGTGCGATGAGAGGCATAATGCCACGCAAAAAAAAACACGTACTGAAAAAAAAGAAAGCTAGGCCCAAGGTCAGTTGCGTGTTATCATTTTGTTTCCTTTGTGTTCGTTTCATCGCATTCATCAAGTATGTCACAAAACTAACAAGCTAAACGAACAATCAGTACTGTTTGTATCATTGGAGACATTTAACTTTGTTTAAATAAAAAAATAAGAGCATACAATAATGTAAAATAAAACTTCTATTGCCACATCAGGATGATCAGTTTACGTTTTATGTTCACTACAGGAAAAAAAAACATATTGGAATTATCTCTATTTCACAGTGCGTGCCGCGCGACGGCTTCCTAATTTATTGATTATGTAGCTGTCTTTGACCCATCACTGCCCGCGACCATGCTTTTAATCTCTTAGCATGCGTTCCGGTACTCCAATAAACATAGTGTGTCGTTCGCATTACGTGACCTGTCCTGGTCATGTAATGTTGTAGTGTGTACCAAAGCCAATTATGAGCTTCAGTGAAGGATACTGAATTTCATTGCACTGTAAAATATTCAGTAATATGTTCCTGCGTTTTTTTAGTTTTCATTAAATTTATTTCACCTGGGCCAAGCACTCATTATACAAACTTGCGCATAGCAAAGTATAAGCACTCATATGGCTTAAGCGAACCACGGCAGTAAATTTTCAAGAATACTATCGGCGAATACAAATAATAATGATTGATTCTACCTTCCGACGATTGTCTTTTATACGGTAGGAACTGCATTTCAATTGCACTGTTGTTTTTACGCCCCGTATTCTGGTTTTTGTGCGTGGATTAAACTGACTGGCACCTGAATTAAAGTCATTGGCAATTGGATTAAACACGGTGGCACTTGGATTAAACTCAATGCCCTGCGGCCTGAGTGAGTTGGCGCTTGGATTAAATATGTTAGCACTTGGATTAAATGTTTGGCACAAGGATTAAATAGCTCAGCACTCCGATTATTTCAATGGCGTGCTGATTATTTAGGCTGGCACTTGGATAAAAGTGAGCGGGAAAACCTGTAGTTACACTACAAATTTTTACTACTGAAACTATCAAAACGATAAGCTAGGATTCCATTTTTTATATGCATTTGTACATTTGAACATACAAATATAGACACGAACTATAAAAATTTTCATGCCTATGATAATAATATCAGTCACTGATATAAGTATTTTTAATAACAAGCCAACATAAACTGCACCAATATAAGGACAAGCGAATAAAAAGAATAGATGCATTGACCTTAAGTGGATTTTTGTTTAGAGTTACAAACTATAATGAAGTACTATATAGTATAATCTGCAAGTTGCTCGGCCAACTGTAAAATAAACATCATAAATAAAATAATCGAAAGGTGATGAACAATATGGCAAAGAAATGGTGATTTATCAAGCGAAAAACATAGACAAATATCTACACAGGGTGCCCTAAATATCTCGCAGCATGACTAAAAAAAAATAGAGGAACGTCGTTACTTGAAGCACACCTGTTGCATATTTTTTTTTGTATACTGCTGTAGGTATTATAGATTTTTCTGTAAATGAGGTTTAGTTAATTAGTCATAATTAGGTTTCTCCAACTTGAAAAGTAATCGCTTAATCATCAAAATGTCAATGAGTCACACACACACACACATACACACACTAGCTGTCCCAGCTAACTCGGAAGCAGACGTGTGGCTGTGTGGTAGAACAACTAACTCGGACCAAGACTTAATTCTTTAAAAAAAGTTGTTCTACTTGTAATATATTAGTAGTAGCTGTGTGTACATACATCCTGTATTTTTTATGATAAAACACTAATTAATTAGTTAACGTCAATTAGCCGACTTTATTAGTCTTACTCAAATCAGTCAAATATTAACTTTGTGCTATAGGTTGCCTCGAAAAAAATGCCCCACCACGGTGGTCTAGGGGCTAAGATACTCGGCTGATAACCTGCAGGTCGCGGGATCGAAGCCCGGCTGCGGTGGCTGCATTTTCGATGGAGGCAAAAATGCTGTAGGCCCGTGTGCTTAGGTTTGTGTGCACGTTAAAAAATCCCAGGCGGTCAAAATTCCCGGAGCCCTTCACTACGGCG